ACCCTAAACCCTAAACCCCTGAATCGAAAGCCCGCCCATGGACTCCAAACTCTCCTTAGCTGAGGCATGGTCCCTTAAATTCCGCGAGGGATCGCCCTGTAACCGAAGCTATTCCTTTATTCAGGTATTGAGTCTCTGGGCTAAACTGGGTTCTTGTTAGGGGATTTAATCTAAGTTGCCATACTAAAGAACCAAAATATTTGCTATAGATCCCTACTATGGTAACTGAAATAACATCCCTTAGCAACCCTAAACCCTAAACCCTAAACCCCAAACCCTGAGAAGCCTTAGAAAGACCCCCAGTAAATGCTAAACCCCGAGCAGCCCAGTCGACTCCGCGTGCCTGCGGCGAAGAGGGATGACTGGGGGCAAAGCCCTCTGTTGCTCGGCTTCGGTGGCATTTGAGGGTTTAGGGTTTAGGGTTAAGTTTAGGGTTTTGGGTTTAGGGTTTTAGAGTTTAGGGTCTAGGGTTTTGGGTTCATGCCCTTCCGTTTCAATCCATCAATGTGACTTAGAAAAATCTCACACGAAGGTACTTTTCACTTATACCCTTACTTCTTGTGCCGATGTCTCTTGGTCTCGAACCGACAGGCTGGTGTAGAGGGCTTCTCTATGAGGCGTGTGATGTGCTGGGCTCCTCTTATACTGCTGTCTTACAGTGGTTCGAGGCCCCTGATTCCTGGTGGTCGCTTCAGGGCAGGATCGTCGATGCTTTGCTGCCCTCTCAAATCTCGGGCCAAAAAATTTCTGGCAACTGATCTCCAACATCCTACACAACACCAAATCTATTGAAGCTTGTTTAATGTCAAGTCGAGTTTTGTACTCACTGGTCTTAGTTTGTCTTTCTCTGTCTCGACATATTGTCTTCTTTCTTCGGTTTTGCCTTTTTAATTGTCGTCATGTGTCTCCATTTGCCTTTATGCCACCAGTTTGGTGGTCTTGATTAACCTCTATCCCATTGCTCGCCTGCGACTTGGGGCTCTTGGTCCAGAACCCCCCCTGAACCCTAAAGCCTGAATATTATGGCTACTATGGTTTAGGGTAAATTCCGAAATTAAGGGGTATTGGGGATCTAAGTAAACCCTAAACCCTAAACTTTAAACCCTAGTCCCTTAAACCCCAAACCCTAAACCCTAAACTTTAAACCCCAGTCCCTTTCCGGCCTCAGCCCCGGCCTCACAGCCCGAAAGCCCCTAACCTAAGCCACAAACGCGAAGCACGCAGCTCAGGGCCTCTAGAACTCCAGGCCTTTAAAACCCCGAAGGGCTTTAAGCCGCAGATGTTTGCCAAACACGACCCGGTAAATTTTGATCAAATCGTGTCGAACCTGGTTAAACCTTAAGTCTTAAAACTTATTGAATCGTACCCAGTGTAGTTGAATTCGCCACGTTTCTACCGGGGGCTGCCCGCCGCACTCCTTGGATGGAGGGCTTGCCCGCCTCCGCGCCTCCAAGGAGAGCCAAACCCGTAACCCTCTAAACTCCTAAACCCCTGCAACCCTAGAGCTCTAGTCTGTGTTTAGATGTCTAACGCCTTCTTAGCCCTCTTTTGGTAACGCTTTCAAGGCTCGTTACTTGGTGTTTTCCAAGTCTTTGCAATTGAAAAATGTCTCTTTGGTCGTTTGGGTCTCTTGAGTGGGACTTTTCGTACAAGTGTTGTCTTCACTTTCCTTGTTGTGTCAACTGCTGTCTCAACTTATCTTTTGTTTGTCGAAGCTTGTCTTAAGCAATCTTAGCTAAGTTAAAGGCCCGAGGTTTGAGTGCCTCGCAAACCCCAGTGACTGCGAGGCACAAGAAGATGGGTTTTGTCGTGTTCCGCTTCGGGGTTTTGGTTTTAGGGGTTTAGGGGTTTGGGGTTTAGAGGTTTAGGGCCTGGTTTAGGGTTTAGGGTTTCCCAAAACAACCGGCGTCTAAACCGAAAAGCTAACAGTCAGTTGTAACAACGGTAACAGCTAACAGAAGCAAGAGTTCCAATCGCAACAGTCGCAACTGTCATCATCATAAGGATTGTAACACCACTGCTGGCAACAGCAAGAATAACAATAGCAGTAGCACCAATCAGGGCACTGCCCGAATCCATGAAGTTCGGCTCGGCATGATCTTTCGCTCAGGTTCTACGCAGCTAGACAAGGACACACACAGCGACTGGGATGACTCTTTGTCTTTGGGATAGAGAGTGGAATGGGCTTCGGTCTTAGTACATGGCTTCGAGGTAACTTTTTTGAGATGTTCGTCGGCGTTATGAGAGGAGATTTGCTTTAATCCTGAATGTTTGCACGCAGAAGTTTTGGGAGCTGTGGACTTCGAGTCATGAAGCCTAGCTGAGGCTTTGTGCTTACTTCGTCGAGAAATTGGACATGAGTGTCCATCAAGCAGATAAGTCGGGGGACACGCCACTTTTCTACGCAATGGAAGCAAAAAAGACCGACACTGCAACTGGGTGGCACTTTGTGAGACCTTTGAATGCACCTTGTGGTCCTGCAGACGAACCTTTTTTGATACATCATTTTGGGTTCATTGGGTTCAACCCTAAGCGTTAAACTCCAAATCCAGGTCCCTAAACCCTAAACCCTAAACCCTAAGCCCTAAACCTTAAGCTCCCCAAATCCAGGTCATCTACTTGCTTAGACAGGGTGCGTCGCTGGGAGTCAACAACAAGAGCTTCGAGTCGCCAGAGAGCATCGCACCGGTTGAGGTGGCTCGCGAGCTGCAGGCAAGAAAAGGGGTCGGAACAGTTGAAAATAGTATAGCCCCGTTTCGTCCGTACTTGTATTAACTACAAACCCTACGCACTAAACCTTAAATCCTAAACCCTGAAGACTAAACCC